CAATCAACACCCAGATAAGCAGGGATTAACACCAGACAAACAATCAAGCAGTAAACAATACTCTAATCAAGGAACTGCCAATTCAGACAAACAATCAAGCAGTAAACAACAGCCTAATCTAGGAACTACCAAGGAAAAAACTACTCCCCCACCAACACTGCCAGAGCAAGTTACTGTATATAAACAGAGAGCAAACCCCACTCCTTTCTAGCACTGAAGATGTGATCCAGCCGGATAACGAAACGTCTGCAAGAAAACAGCCAAGCTCAGAGAACCCCACGGACTTCACAGAAAAAAAGAGGCCAGACAGGAACTGAATACGGAGAGGTCCTCTGGGCCAAACCACAGAACTCTACACAGCCCGCAAGGCATCCCATTCAGTCCTTTCTCCACGCAGTGACACAGAGGCACAATTGTCACATTTTCCAGATTCACAAAACTCCTGGAGTCACCAAAGAGGTTGGATTCACCCAACACACTAAAGCCAAACTGCTTTGACTGTTATGAAGTTCCTCCTAATGTTAAACCGGAGTCTGCCTTCCTCTAACCTACATGTGTTTGTCTCCTCTTCTCATGCCCAGCTTCTTCCTTTCCCTTCATCGTTTCCAGGGCCCTGATCCCCCAGCCTCCTCTGTTCCTGCTCCATCGTCCCTGAATCCTTCCTCAAGTGAAGGGCCTAGGGCAGTGTTTCTCAATCTCAGAATCTTTAAGCATCGCTGGCTGGGGCATTCTGGGAGTTGAAGTCCACACAGCTTAAAGATTCTGAGATTGAGAAACACTGGCCTAGGGGCATGAGAGGGTCCTCCAGAAAGCCAATCTGACTGGGGGGGGGCACTACCACAAAACTCGAAAGCCAGAGGCCTTCAACCATCTACACCTTGGCTTTTCCAGCCCTCCTGAGGGACCACATTGCTCACCAGAGAGGTTCAGGGATGATAGAAGGTCCGCCAGGTGCAAAATTTGCTGAGGGGCAAGTAGGAGGTGCAGTGATCCGATCTTTCCATCCAGCTCCAGCTGCAGGGGGAGAGAACCACGTTCCACTTCAAAGAGAAGCTCCCTGCCCATTCAGGTAGAGAACACGATATAGGAAACGGACAAATCCAGGCGTTCTGCCCAGAGGTCTGCTCTCGGTGCCACTCTCCCCCTTGACCCCACAGCCTAGCTCCCGTAAAGAAGAATCATCTTCTTTCTGTACACAGGATGCTAAACAAAGCATGGATTCAGGAGAAAAACCACAGAGTGAGAGATTTGCATACTTTCAAGATTAAAAAAAAAAAGCATTCCTATGTCTATTTCTTGACCTGGCCTACCTAGAAGGGTTGACATCAATCTTGAAAGTTTCTCTCTCTCTCCTGTTATACTATACAACAGTGTTGTCCAAACCTGGCCACTTTAAGATGAGTGGACTTCAACTCCCAGAATTCCCCAGCCAGCCA